GGGAGCCCCAGGGGGCTGGAGGGCAGAGAGGTGACAGGAGCCCGAGCCCCGGGAGTTTGGGACAGAGAAGTGAGGGGAGCAGGAGCCCCGGGGCTGAGAGGTGACAGGAGAGGGAGCCCCAGGAGTTTGGGGGGGCAGAGGTAAGGGGAGCGGGCCACGGGACAGAGAGGTGACAGGAGCCCAAGCCCCGAGGGTTTGGGGGGGCAGAGGTGAGGGGAGCAGGCGCCCCAGGGCAGAGAGGTGACAGGAGCCTAAGCCCCAGGGGTTTGGGGGGGCAGAGGTAAGGGGAGCGGGCCACGGGACAGAGGTGACAGGAGCCTAAGCCCCGGGGATTTGGGGGGGCAGAGGTGAGGGGAGCAGGCGCCCCGGGGTGGAGAGACGACAGGAGAGGGAGCCCCGGGGGGCTGGAGGGCAGAGAGGTGACAGGAGCCCAAACCCCCATTGGTTCAGTCTGCGATTCTGAAGTGGGGTCCTGAGGCCCCATCTCGTAGGAGGTTCTGTGCCCTCCAACTTTCCACAGCAGCAGAGAACTAAGGGCCACCTGCCGGGCACCCGGTTTGCAGGACCTTGCGGGGACTGCCGCGAGCCCCAAACACCCTGACTTGGGCGCCTGGCGCAGGGGTGAGTCTCCGCGCCGTCAGCTGTCGCCAGCCGCTGTGGCCCGGTCCCCACCAGGGAGCGCCCCGGGCACAGCAGCCCCCCCAGTGTTCAGTCCATGCCCCGTCCTGCTCGGCTCTGCCTGCAGTGAGCTCCCCCCCCCGCAAGCCTCTGGCCTGCACCCCACATGAAAATACAATCTTTTTCTTGAAGAATGATGCCCGTGGCAAGGAATGTGCTGTGTGGGGTGTGGGGGTAAAACGAGACAACCCCGCCTCCCCCTGCACCCCTGCGCCAGAGCAGGGACCATGCCCCGTTCACACAGCGCCCCAGAGCAGCCTGAGAGGGCAGAGGCCTGCGGTGCCCGCAGGGCAGCTCTGGGCGCCCAGGCCCCGCCCGCACCTGCTTGACGTTCCTGCGGTCGGCCGCCGTCTTGGCCACCACCATGCGGAAGGTGTAGAGGATGAGGCCCGGCAGCCGCAGCAGCTCCATGCCGTTGCCGATGAAGGCCGAGGCGATGACGTAGTTCACGAAGAAAGCGCCCTGGTCGGGCAGGAAGACGCACCTGCAGGAGCAGGGCTGAGCGGGGCCAGGAGGGCCTTCTCCGCCCCCACCGCGCCCCCGGGGTGCCCCCCGACGCCAGGCCCCGCGCTGGGCCGAGAAGGGAGCAAGCCCCGACGCTGCTCCCGTGAGGGCGACGCCCTTGGCGGGCTCAGAGATGCACGGAGGGCAGAGGCCCAGAGGAAAACGCCGCCTCCAGGCTGGTGGTCACCGCGCTGGGCAGGGCGGTCAGACACCTGAGCAGGTGTGGAGGCGAAGCGTCGCTGAGGAGCGGGGGAGAGCAGCTGAGGGGCTCTAGCACCCAGGAGCCTGCGGGCGTGTGAGCAGGACGGTGGGCAGCAGAGCAGGGCGTGGGCAGGCCTCCGTGCCCAAGGGGCCGGGGCTGACCGTGGGAGGGTGCCGGGTGGGCAGCAGAGCAGGGCGTGGGCAGGCCTCCGTGCCCAAGGGGCCGGGGCTGACCGTGGGAGGGTGCCGGGTGGGCAGCAGAGCAGGGCGTGGGCAGGCCTCCGTGCCCAAGGGGCCGGGGCTGACCGTGGGAGGGTGCCGGGTGGGCAGCAGAGCAGGGCGTGGGCAGGCCTCCGTGCCCAAGGGGCCGGGGCTGACCGTGGGAGGGTGCCGGGTCACGCAGAGGGTGGAGAGCACCATGCTGCGCGCTCTGTGGCAGGGGGTGGGGGGAGCTGCTAGCTTGCTGTGGGACCTGAGGGGGGGACAGGCCCCTCCCTGGCGGCACAGGGGTTCAAGCGCAGCACGAAGGAGCCGTCCGCAGCCCGAGCCAGGGAGGGACCCCAGGCCAGCAGACCCCTCCTCTCTCCCCGCTGCTCCCCTCAGCAGTGGGCTTCAGTCCCTCCGCCTGTTCTGCTCCCCGCTGTCTCTGGGGTGTCCTCTCACCCCCTGCTCCTCTGGCCTGCGTCCTCGGACACTACTATTACGTGGTACAACAGACGAACGAGGACGCACGTCGCGATACACGGAGCTCCACGCCCCCGGCAGACGTGACCCAGACCGGTCATTCTGGCGGCCTGGCCAAGCAGTACTGGCCCGCCCGCCTCCTCCTGCACCGAGCCCAGGGGTCTGGCGCTCGGAGGCGCCTTCTCATGAGTAAATTTCAGAGAAAGGGACCGCCACTACTTGAGTTCTGGCCGGAAAGATCAACCCCATTGCCGCACTCGGGGCGCACAGCGGGTCACATGCCGGGATACAGGCCGCCCGCCCCGCCCCTGCAGCCCAGCCCAGACACTGGGACATTCACCACCAGGCCCCAGCTCAGCAAGGCCCCAAAATGAGAAGCAAAAGCAAGCCCTTTGCCGTGGCTGATACGCACTCCAGCCGGACGGACGCATCCTCGGAGGCGGTTTTGTCAAAGAGCCACCGGAAGAAAAAATCCAAACTGGAAAACAAACGAATAGCATGGAAATTATTAGCACCTCAGTGATCACGTTTTGCACTTTTCTTTGCTCTAAAAAGGGGCCGGCTTTCAAGGTTTACTCCAAAATGCCACGCGCCACACGGAAACCTGCCAAGACCCGTCTCCAGAAACGGCCCCTCCCCGAGGCGAAGAAAGCTAGAACTAGACACTCCTGAGCGGAAGCTTGTGGAACTTATGCTCGCAGACTTTAAAAAATACGTATTTGGGGCCCTCCCCGGTGGCGCAGCGGGTTAAAGCGCAGCACTGAGAAGCTAAAGCCACTTCCCCATGAGTTCGATTCCCGCCTGCCCGGAGGTGACCACAGGGCACAGCAGATCTCCCCTGCCCCGGAGGTGACCACAGGGCGCGGCAGACCTCTCCTGACCCGCCCGCTGCTCCCCGCAGCAGTGTGCTTCCTCGATCTGCCTGTTCTGCTCCCCACTCTGTCTCTGGTGAAGCCTCTCACCCTCCACATCTCTGGCCTGTACCCCAGTTCTGTGTGAGTAAATAAATAAATCTTTTTTTAAAAACAGTATTTTGTCACCGTTAGAGCAAAGCCTGCCGGGAGAATCAGTGCACCAGCAGTCACCGCTGGGGGCCCACAGTGACGGCTGCCAGCGAGCAGCGCCTGCTGCCAACCTTCGCCGCCTCTGCGTGAGCCTGACTGAACCGAGGGCGCGAGAGGCCCACCTGGTGAGGCCGAGGGACGGCAGGATGAGCACCATGAAGATCAGGAATATGTAGACCTTGGTCATCATGATCCGGTTCTCCCCCGACCTGAGGGAGCCACAGTGAGCCGCAGTCTGCAGCCCCGGGCCGGGCGGGGTCAGACACGCTTCCCGAGGGAACTGCCCCTGGGCACTCACTTGGTCCAGTGGGACTCCAGCAAGGTAGAGTAGTAGACGATGGTGGGGAGGAGGGCCGAGAAGGACCACAGGAGCAGGGTGGGGAAGAACTGGCTGACGATGGGGTCCTGGAAACAAGGACAGAGCGGGCCTCAGGCTGCGGCCGGTTACCCTCCACTCCAGAACGTGATGCGCCCGACACGGCAGGTACTCCCGGGCGCTGGCTCCCTCCACAGGTGACTACCACACTTCGAACTGC